CTAATAATCCATATTTTAATAGTATATAAGTCTTAAGTTCTTAATTATACAAGGCAATATTTTTAAAAATCCTCAATTTCCCCCACTGTGACCCACATGACACATTTTCTCTTAGCATGTCATCTTCCCTATTTTATCTACCACCCCTCGAAAAAGCATGAAATTAAACGTAAATTACTCTCTATAAAATCATCATTACTCAAACAAACCATAATTTTTGTAGTCTTCAATTTTGTTTGGTTACAGAGCTATCGAAAAAAAAATCGGACCCTCCTGCAATGCCTACCTCTCACATCCTCTCTTTCAGAATTCGTTAATGGTTCTCTCATACGTTTAATTGTATATTACATATAACCAATAGAAAGTCAAGGTTTTCATCTATCAAATGACATATTGTATAACTTTATGTTCTGAATGGTTAAATGTCAGTTTCACTCAGAGTACCAACATCGTTCCCATGGGAAAGTTAATGACTAGCTTGGATGAATTTGTAACGACTCTTATCACATAGTTAGAAAGCTTGACGAATTTTGAGAGGTAAGGGAATTTGTCTACTTTATGCATGTTATTAGTCTATATTCTTTGGTGTATTATTTAATTAAATAGAAATTATTAAGTGCATTACTATCATTTGTATAAAAAAATTAGTGTTAACTCTCTTTGACAAACAACAACAAGAAAAAAGAAGATTGATTAAATATTTTATTTCTTGTTTTTTTTATGTTTATTCTTTATGTCTAATTACAAAAGTAACTAAAATGTAAAAATAGGGATCCTTTTAGGTTACTTAAGATTAAATTAGGTAAAATATATAATAATAATATTATAATAATGTTTCATGGGGCATGCATGCAAGTAGCTCCTAGTAGCTTGTGGATAATGTAATTCATTAGCGCAACTTGAGCTGCTCGTTCCCCGAGTAATTTACAACTTATAATGACATGGATTGTATTTAGACACTGTTAAAAGGGCAATAAAACAATAAAATGTAATTATAAATAGATGTATAATGTTACGAACTTAGAGCTACTTAGGATAATCGAATGTAGTTTCATGTTACAATTTGAAGTCATTCTAGAAAGAAAGAAAGAAAAGGGTAATTTAGGTTTATTTCGATTTGTTTTTGGTGGTTACGAGGTTGGTTGAATTGACCGATCCCATTTTGAGATAGGGGTACAGAAAATAACAAATAAACTAAAGTTTTACTGAAAAAAAAAGTTGTAAATACATTTAGGAGGTTTTAGGGATTACACAAAGGAAATATGAGACTTTTAAGAGGCAGAAAAGTGTTTAATTACTTTTCACAAGGACCATTCAAAACAAATACTCATTATATTCATGGACAAATCTTTATTTTATTTTATTAAAGATAATTCACTAAAAATATGATTTTTGTATGTGAAAGACTTATAATATTAACTCGAAGATATACACAATATTTTGTAGATTATCAATTGATTCATTAAGTCGGAGATAAAAAAACAACAAAAATTCTCATACGACAAAAGAAAGTTACTTTGAGAATAAAAGAATATTATAATAATCTAGTATAACTAATTAAATTATAAAGGAAGTTTATAATTATGATTTTATGAATCCTTCAAAATTTCTGTAATTTTAAACCATGCACCAGCTTCACTGTTTCGGTATAAAGCCCTATTTTTATTTTCAACAATATTTATACATATTCCTTTTCTGATCTTGATTCTGGTATTTTTAGGTTCACTGATTTTCCTGTGAGTAATTGGATAAGAGCCATGAAACATCTTTAGGTTCATTAGATAATGTTTCACAAAGCAAAATATAAATTATCTTTACTTTGACTGGGTCTGATGCAAAGAAAGAGACTAGACTTAATATATCACACAGTAATATAATCGTTATTCCTAAAACTCGCAAATAACAGTCAAAACTTTTAAGAACAAGTGTATTTTGGCATCTTTACTGCAACATGTATCAGATCAATATCTTTGATGGTATTCATTTCTCTATAAAATCATGTCATCTTGTGTATATCACAGACTGAGAACAACATGGCATTATATTAGAAGAAGAACAATGCTATTCTTGTCAGGATGCAGGTGCCACCTAAGTGACTGATGGTCATTCTTATTACAAAACAGTTAATGTTGTTTCCCTAGAGCATCACCTGACTTGCCACTAGGATGTATCACTGTCACTTTTTATATGATATGTGTTATATTACAGCAATCTTCTCTGTGAGAAAGTACATGTGATACCCTAGCTCAGTGATCTAGTTTCATGAGTAACCAGGGTGAAAGAACTTAGTTGCTCCCTCTATCAATTTTATGTGTTAAGAACATGTGCTGAATATGTACAGAAATACTGAAAAAAATTTACTTATTAAGGGGAATAGGAAACATACAATAAGCTTGCATACCACATGATTATAAAATGAAAAATTTAACAAAACGTTTTCTTACATTTGACAGTGCAACTCCTTTCAAACATTTTGTATGCTTACTCTTGGAAGGACCATCTAACGTTTGTTTATTAAATGTATCAGTTCTTCACATGTGATTATTGAAAAATTGTTATAATTTTTTTGTGTTTGATTGAAGTATTCATTATTTATGTGTGAAAATAAAAACTTTTACTTACTTTTTTTCCCTCTTTTTAGAATGAGGATACTGTAGTGGAAAGTTTCCGACCTCATCGTGCCTCAGCAGATGAGGACACAGTTGATTCAAAAGAACCAGTTGTCGCTAACCACATTTCAAGTTTGTTACTTTTACCCATAAGGGGATTCTTGCCTTATTTTTACTTGTACATAAAACTATTTTTTTTGTACATAAAGATTTTATTTAAGTATGATCAAAGAAGTAGGTTTTTTATTAAATATTGTTATAAAAAATTTATTTTTACATGTGTGTCTTAAAAAGTAGCATAAAATTAGTTGTATTATCCTATCACTTGTAACAAGTAAATATAGAGCATAATGATACAAAAAACAAAGTGTGTAGTAATTGTTGCATAGGAGCATGGGTTGGCCCAGTGGTAGAGCTCTCTAGTTTTGAAGAGAGCGAGCCAGGTTCAAATCTGTGGAATACCATAAAATATTCCCCACATTTTAGGCCATAGGTGTGTTATAAGAGTGACAATCATTTCCTTATTGTGAATGGTGGATGGTAAGGTGTTGCTGGTCAATTGATTTCTTTCTGGTCAATCGTCCAAAATTAGGGATGGTGGCAGAAAGCCTTAGTAGCTTTGCCATAAATATAAATACAAGTTGTTTGATATTATTTCACTAATTGAGCTACTTTGAGGATGTTGATATTATGATAATTACCAGCACAAACATTTAATATAATTTGGGCTGCTTTTCCTGATGTAAAGAGTTAGGAAGGAAAGTTAATATCTAACTTGAGCATTAACACATACACATTTCATGTTTTGAACCATGCATACATTTACAATGAGCCTATTTTTTTAAGTCTGATCAGCTTTCAATCCTCCAACTACACCATGGAGTTACTAACTGCCATTTATCTAGCATTATTCAAACCAGTGGTTATATAAATATTCTGTATTGTAATAAAGCATGAGAAATAGTTATTTCAACAATAAAACTTGCTTTTTTTTTTTTATAAATCCACAAACTCAAGCTTATTACCAGTAACACATTAGAAGCTAAACTTAATTTTGAGTAGCTTGTTATTATTGAATGTTTACTTGTTTCTTTTTGTATTGAGTAGATTACATTAGAAGAATGAATGCCTTGATGATTAATTGGTATGACAATGATTTAGCTGTAAGATGTATTATTTATCATTTAAATGTGCTTCTAGCCAATTTTTCGTGTTCTTCTATGGTGTAATTATGCTATTAAAAATACTGTATCTTGCCACAACGAGTTCATGAAGATAACAAACAACATTTGATGGAACTCTATACATTGCAACTATCAACAACTATGTATGGTTTCAATTATTAGTTGCTTGAGAAGCCACTTCTTCATTGTTAAAACCTGAAATTTAAAAGTGCTATGGTTTTATACCTAAAAAAAAGAACAATTTTGTTTTTTGAAAAACATTACAATGGATGAACTGTTTTTGTGTACATAGATGAGGAAGGAGTGGCAACTTCGTCACAACATGTTCCGAGAGATGTTGAAGAACTTAAAACGATTGATCAACCTATTCCTCTGCCAAGACTATCCAAGCACAAAAAGGAAGATGTCTCAGAAAGTCACGAAGTTGTGAACCATATCCAGTTGATACAAACTGAACCTGAACATGCACGAACTGTAACATATAAGGCTTCAACCAACCCTCAAACACCCGATGATGGTATTGTTGCACAGCATGATTTAGATGTTGAAGTAACAGATAACTTCAGAGAGGAAGACACACAGGAAGTGAATTCTGCATCGGAAGAGTCTGATATCACCAATCACCCTAGGAAGGTAATTCGTGAGGTAATTATTCTAATGGTAATTTTAAGATGTGTTTACAGTTTGTCACAAGTGTTTAGTAGAACTGTAAGTTTCTGTGTCAGTGAAGTATACATTAAGAATTGAGATTTCAGATGGTTGTGAAAAACCTCTGATACACGACAATGCATTCAACTACACCCACACAACTACTTCACCTCCTGTATATTTATACTTCTATACACAATCCGTATATTAGGCAGGTGGCAGCACTGCTTATGTAGGTTTTTTTTGTTTGTAATTAAGCACAAAGCTACACAATGGGCTATCTGTGCTCTGCCCACCACTCTGCCCAGATTCTAGTGTCGTAAGTCCGCAGACATACCGCTGTTCCACTGGGAGGCGCTTATGTAGGAAAGGCTTGGATTGTTCATCAAAATGGTATTTTAAATATCTCATCAGTAAGTCATCAGTGTTTTCTTTTATAAAGATATCTATGTAATGACTGAGTCACAAGTTCTGGGAATGTTTGTAAATATCAAAGCAAAAAGTTTGAATTTCTTTCTTCTTTTTTATTATAGGATAACTCAAAAACCAAAACAATGGTGTCAACCAATTTCACTGAGGTAACATACTTTCAAATGGAGTATCTGCTTTTATAAGTATTATTAATAACTAACAGTAATTTAAAAAAATCACAATTCTAGTGTAAATGATGTTATCATTACCCCTTGGAGTTAGCTTGCTTAGAATTATAGGAAGTTTGTTAGTTCATCATCTCAGAAGGTCACCATAAACTGAATCCCTTACTGATGTCATCTGCCTTCAAGGGACTTGGAACAACTGTTATAAAATGAACTTTATGTGTTTTTCTCTCTCACAAAGTAAAGTTGTACTGAAGAGGACATGTGAAAGTTTCAACTTGTTTCCATATAAACTTCTTGTTCTGACAACAGTGGATATAAACTTTATTTTATTTTACTCTACATGGTATTATATATTTACTTGCTCACTAAATGAACTTTGAAATTTTTTTATCAGATGTTATTTCACTGTTGATGTTTGAATTACAAACACTTTATGTAGTGATTAATTTTTTCCAAAATATTTTAAATTTCTAATGCTTTCCTTTTACTTCAAGCTTAAAAACCAGTAATTAACATTCACTGTTGGGGTATTTTTCTTTTAGTCATAACAACACAGAATTGAACTGATAATAATACTTGTTTAATTATTGCTGTTATTATTTTTTTGGAATAAATATTGTGATATTAAAATAATACATCTCTTCTGCAACAAGAAAAAAAAAGTCAAAGCATTTTTGAGCAGACAAAATTTGTCTTGCTTTAAGAAGATCAAGGAGAGTAACAAAATATACATGGCTTGTATACATTTTCAGAAACCAATCAGCTCGCATGTAGATCAGTACTGATGAGTGCACCGGAATGGGTGGCAACTGCCCGTTGTAGAAAAAAAACACAGCTTACACACTGACCTGAAGATGGAAGACAATTGAAACATCATCGTCTACTTGTTTTATTCTACAACATGCAGTTGACACTCATTCCAGTGTACGCGTCATGAATACTCTGCTTAAACCATTTATCAAAGAATAAATTAGTACTGTTTTTATCAAGTCGTGTTAGCCTTCACTATTCCTTCACTAAGTCTTTTGTCACCATAAGTTTTAAAGCAGTTGCTTTATGGATATAGGTGGGTTATTAATGTGTGTCTATTTTATCACATTAGAAAATAATAATGTGTAAATGTTATGTGCAGTATAAACCTCTTAATTCTGTGAAGTCTAAACAGGAATTTTTCCAGAAAAGAGTTCCCAAATAAGGAAGAGAACAAATTAATGTAGCTACAGTACGATAATTTTTGACAGATTTGAGAGAGATTTCAAGCACTTTCAAAGATTATACCAAGTTGCAATGGCAGTTTTCTTAATTGATTTGTAAACATTAAAGGTTTTTAATCCAGTGCTGGAGATATCTTTCTTAACAGAATGAGGAACGAAAAGTCTGGTTTACATCCGAGACTGAGGACCAACCTGAGTATCAACTCAAACTTCATCGCAGAGATACTCCACACCACCTGAAAAATAAACGTATCAACCCTTCAAAAGAAGATGAAGAAAAGGTAATTTCATATTAGGAAGTCCAACAAATTTACAAGCAATTGTAATGTTCCTTCTCCCATTTTAGAATTAAAATAACAAATATATATGTGTGTATAGTAAGAAAGACCAAAAGAGAAATAATAATACACTTTCCATTGAACAGACAAAAGTACACCATAAAGACAATAATCAACAACTTTTTTTCTTTAAATAACAGAGAAACTTTTTTTTTGTTAAAAAGATATCGTTTACAGATGATGATGATGATGAAACCAAACAAATGATCAGTACACTAAAAAAGAACCTTATTAATATATTTTCAAGACTCTGCTCAATGGACAACATTGATGAAGAAATCAACTGTATAAAGTTTCCTTAATTCTTTCCAACAACTTTTCACCAGTTATTGTTGAAAAAATGTTGCACAACCCCTACAACAAAAAACTCAAAACTCAGCTTGTGAACAGAATTGGTACTAATAAGCCAAACAATAACACAACATTACACTGCAGTTTACTATTTATCTCTGAACAATAATTGAAACTTGGACAACAAAACTTACCATTAAACATAAAATTCCTGTTTTTTTCAAATTCCCTCAAAAACTTGACCCTAAACTAAAAATCGTTACCAAATAAGAATTACGTAAAATCACACAAAACCAACGTTGTTTATAAAATAACGTGTTAATAACTGTCCAGAATTCTGCTTCAGTGAAACCAGAAGAAAATTGGAAACTAGATTTACTGAACATAATAAAAGAACCCTTCCATGTTTAGTACCATTACAACACAAAGTATTGGAGTATATCTATTAAAAACAATGTAATTTTAAACATAGAACCAAACATAAAATCAAATAAGCCTATCCTAATTGAACAAAACAGACGCACTCTTAACCAACACCCCCGAGGTGCCGAGATACTTTTACAAAACCATCAAGCAATAATTGATCATGTAACTTCTTTGTTTCATGCTATATATTCCTACATTTAGGTAAACTACTTCTGCCTGATGATAACAAATTCTTATCAAAGCACTGAACATTTGTTACTATTTAATACTTGTGATAAAGTTTACTTTGTTACTCATTCAAACCTTCTTCAAACATTATATTACTCACAAAGTGGGTTACTCATCATCAAATTTACAGTAACTTAGTTTGATTTTGTAACCCTGTATATTTTGAATTAAAAATCAAAACAGGTCTCCAAAATTCTGAGATTTAATTTCAAAAATAGGACTACAACATTGCATATTTTTGTACTTTTTCGCTTTAAAATTGTCAATAAATTATATTTGTTTACATTTAGTTTATGTTTTAGTCATTTAGTTTTCAAGGCAAAAAATTTGTTGAAGTTACTTATTAATGTTGTTTTTTATATCAAACAAACATATTAATATTGAAATGGAGATGTGTATGTAAACTTCTGAAAATCATAACTTCATTATTTATCCAGGAAATTTAATACACATTATTAATTATTTGTTCAAATAACATTTTAAAAAATCATTATGTGGTCTTTCTTCATCTGTAATTGAATAGTCAGTTGCCTGTATTCAGAGGTTGAACTTTATGTCAGCCTAAAAATATTTCTCTGATAAAAGTGTATAAAAGCATGAATGCGTAAAATAAGTTTCCCTATGTTTTTATTATTATTATTTTAATATAGTTTAATAGTTACCTGGCCTACCTGAATGACTGATGTTTTGTACATTTCATGAAGGTTTCTCAGCTTCTGGCACAGGCAATGAAAAAGGAGGAGGAACCACTTCCATCGCCTCCACCTTCCCCTCCTCAGCAACGACCACTTACCCGACAAACAGAGACAGACAGAGATAGTATGAGAACATCAACACCTGGAAGCTGTAAGCATGTTTTGTTTCACTGTACACTTTATAAAGCCCATTATTTGTTTCATTCTCATGCTTATTATCTATCCTGTGTAATCACTTCAACCAAGTTATTAATCAGTGTTCAACTGTCACAACTTTGCCAAAAGTACTTAAATTATCTGTTTTGTTTCTTTGTGATGTAACTCTGTGTAGTTGGACCATTACTAGGACTATATAAGTTCTTCGTTTCTTCCTTATTTCTGTTTCTAATCATTCTTGTCAGCATGATTAAATATAGTTAAAATTTTTGTTTCCCCAGCTTCACAGCCAACTTCACACCCTGTAGCTCTTACTGTAGAGGCAGTCGAAGAAGCACATAGTATATTCCTCCGTAGAAGTTCTGCAGGGCTAGGGCTTAGTATCGCTGGGGGCAAGGGATCCACACCCTACAAGGGAGAAGATGAGGTGAATACTTGTGTTTAAGGGAAGACTCTATTTGTTGGACACTTCAATGACGTTTTGAACTACTGGCCCCGATTTTCATCGGATCAGATTGGTCAAGTACCATAACTGATTTTACCTGATGAAGATCTTGTGTCAGTATCTCAAAACATTTTCCAAATACTTGTGTGGTGGCTCATATTTGTTGTTTTTTTTATTCTTAGTTTTGTAGAAATCTTTCTTCTTTTTTGTTCTAAAAATCATTTTGAAAATTATGAAACTAGGAAGGTGTAAAACCATTTAATATTCAACACATTGTTTTTAATAAATCAGGTTACAAAAAACAAGTTATACAATTTTGTATAATACTTGAGTTTGCAATTCAGCACCAAGAGATCAATTCTGTAAAGTCAAAGTCTTTTATTGATTTTTAATAAGAAATGCCTTCTAAAAAACATCCAAAGTTAAAAGTAATTTTCAAATGAAAATTATTTATTTCAATTTTCTAATAGTGCTACTTGTAATTTTTCGGTTATTATATCCTTGTGTTTTCTTTTAATACTCGTACTCTACTCCTCATATCTTGTAATTTTGTAAATAAACATACTTCATTTATCATTTCCTAATGTTTTTGTATAAAGAATATACTCTTGTTATCTTCCATTAATAAATATACTCCAGTTATTATTTCATTTGTTTTCCTTGCTAGGGAATTTTCATCTCCCGCATCACTGATGGAGGTCCAGCTCATCAATCAGGCTTGAAAATCAGTGACAAAGTTCTAATGGTAAACCAAAGTTTTTTGCTTTTATATTTGTGCAAGAATTAACTATCATTTCATTTTATCAGTTATTAGTTGAACTATAACAAACCATTTTGTTCCTTTGGCTATGTACTTGTTTGATCATGTAATCTGTACCTCTTATCTCTCACTGCACAAGTTACTCTAGCACTATTACAACCATAAACTTTAAACTTTCTGGATTAGAACTATATATAAAAATATTTTCGGAAATAAAACGAAAACTTTGTAATTTTAACAGTTATGATGACTGACAAGTACATGATAAAATCTGTATTTAAAGTACTGAAGAAATCTGTGTTACTTGGACATGAAAATGTTATTTACACTTTGAAAAAGACAGTCTGAAAATAAAATTGTTTCCAAGATAATTATTAGCAAAGTATTTTAATAATCATAACTTGCAATTTGTTTGTTTGTTTTGAATTTTCTTGGGCTACTCTTTTACCAACAAATAGTGGGATTGACCGTCACATTATAATGCCCCCACAGCTGAAAGGACGAGCATGTTTGGTGTGACGGGGATTCGAACCCGCGACTCTCAGATTGCGAGTCGAGCACCCTAACCACCTGGCCCTTCAGCAATTTAAACTTCTTATTCAATATGTAAGGTACTAGATTTTACGTTAGGTTGTGTCATGAGATAAAGCCATGCAATATTTTTCACATCAAAAGTTAATAAAGTACTTAAAATACTGAGTTATTATTTTGTACTGTTCTTTATATTTAGTTTTATGAAGGATTTATTTCCTACTATTAATAATTTTCACTTATTTAAGTAAATGAACATACAGAGAAATTTCAGTGATTGAAAGATTTTTTTTACATAAAGATAACATAACTAGGCTAGTGCTTTTCTTTTTCTTTAAGTAGTGAATTTGTCAGTAAAAAAGTACGTTGTTAATTTTCCAGGTAAATGGAGTGTCTGTTGTGGACGTGGATCACTATGAAGCCGTAGAAGTCCTAAAGAAGGCAGGAAATGAAATTAGACTGGTGATTGTACGGGAAATTCCAAAATACTATAGCCATTCCAAGGTGATTACTAAAGGTTTATTGTTATTGAAATATAAAAAAGGATATATTAATTAATATTAACTTCTGATTCACCATTGTATCAGTAATGATTGTAGTAAATATATATGCTTTTCTTACATTCTTATTTATAAAGATTAGAATGCATTGTTTCATTGTTTGGTACCCTTGCTGATAACACTAAGTTTACTTGGTTTCATTGTTAGGTACCCTTGCTCATAACACTAAGTTTACTTGGTTTCATTGTTAGGTATCCTTGCTGTTAACAATAAGTTCATTTGGTTTCATTGTTGGGTACCCTTGCTGTTAACAATAAGTTCATTTGGTTTTATTGTTGGGTACCCTTGCTGTTAACACCAAGTTCATTTGGTTTCATTGTTGGGTACCCTTGCTGTTAACACTAAGTTTATTTGGTTTCATTGTTTGGTATCCCTACTGTTAACACTAAGTTTACTTGGTTTCATTGTTGGGTACCTTTGCTGTTAACACTAAGTTTACTTGGTTTCATTGTTGGATACCCTTGCTGATAACACTAAGTTTACTTGGTTTCATTGTTAGGTACCCTTGCTCATAACACTAAGTTTACTTGGTTTCATTGTTAGGTATCCTTGCTGTTAATACTAAGTTCACTTGGTTTCATTGTTGAGTACCTTTGCTGTTAACACTAAGTTTACTTTAATGCCTGCAGTTCACATTGTGATTAACATTTTCATAAATCTTTGAATTAAATATTTAAGATTATTCATATAATTTAGTATTCAAACACCAGTAAAGTACGAGTATTTTTTCTGTTCTATTAAATGCTTTAACTGAGTTTATTAATATCAGAAATAACTTAACAAAACATATACTACGACCTTGTTGTGTTCATGTTAATGCAAAGGGAGATATGACTTTAAAAACAAATTTCTTCTTTTTTTTTCTTTTTTTTTAGTAAAGTATGACTGAACTTGTACAACATAGGTATTGGTTTAATTTGTTTTTGTTATGTCAGTAAAAGAATGTCAACCTCATTTTCAGTGGTTTGTCTATATACCTTAACTTGTATAGTTTTAGTTTTGGAAATTACAATTAACTTAATTTTAGGGTAAAAGAAATATTAGAACAGTAGCCTTTCTTCTTTACTTCATATGGATTTTGGTATATTTTGGCTTTGATTTTGTTGTACTTTGTTATACCTTGTAGTTTACTTTCTATATAGCTCTCATCTCCGGTGCCTCCAATTGAAGAAGTACAGGAACCAGATGAGGATATGGACATACCTACACCACAACAAAGTGTGGAAACACCTTTTCAACAACAAAGAATAGATATGAATACTCAACAACAAAGACAAGATATGCCCAGTCTACAACATGAGGTGGGTGTGTCCACTGAGCAGCAAAGAGTTGAAAGACCCATTCAACAACAAAGACAGGATATGCTCAGTCAACAACATGAGGTGGGTGTGTCCACTGAGCAGCAAAGAGTTGAAAGACCCATTCAACAACAAAGACAGGATATGCCCACTCTACAACATGAGGTGGGTGTGTCCACTGAGCAGCAAAGAGTTGAAAGACCCATTCAACAACAAAGACAGGATATGCCCACTCTACAACATGAGGTGGGTGTGTCCACTGAGCAGCAAAGAGTTGAAAGACCCATTCAACAACAAAGACAGGATATGCCCACTCTACAACATGAGGTGGGTGTGTCCACTGAGCAGCAAAGA